TCAAAAAAACCCCTAAATCGATTTGGGGATTTTTTTGATTTGGGGATTTTTTTTGTTTTTTGGTTTTAATCGGGTTAGGTTTAAGGAAAATTGGTTTATTATTGGTTTAAAAATGATTATGATGGTTAAGATGAGATTGGTCTACGGTAAACCGACACTAACCCAGTTCCATGTGTAAATAAGTATCGAACTTTAATTTTACGGGGAAAAAGGTTTCGAACTTTTGATGTGGGGAGAAAACATTGTGGAACTTTATTTTGAAGGGGATACAGAGAGAGGCTGAAAGTGTGGGTGGAACTGGTCGTATACGAAAGTTCCGAGGGGGAAATAGGTCGTCGTTCCATATATTTACAAAGGATTTTCAAAAAATTTATTATCTTATTATTTTATCGGAATGTGTCTAAAATTATACTGGTCCCAAGTTGGGATCGGAGAAATTTATTAATTTATAGAGATTATTAATTTATCGAGTATTAATTTATAGAGGTTTTACTGTAAATAAATACACCAATGATTCAATAGAGTTCAAAAGTTCCATTGACTATGTAAGAGTAAGACCACATGATAGCTACGCACTAGTGTAATAACAGAGATATTTCAATCATTGTATTGTAAAAATTCAATCCAACGAGTGCAAGTGGTAAAGTCTTAACACAGTAACCATCAATGTATGATGCAAAAGTTGTGAATGTCACTTTTACATGTTTAAATTGATCACCAAGGAATCAGAGTAAAACATGAAACAAATCCATTCATGACTCAAGTAAAATACTACCATAACATGCATGATGCATTCATTTCGTAAAACAAGAGACCTTATGATATCTTCGGTTAGTGTATAGTAAAGACTCAAGCAAAAGGGTACAATTTATATATAGAATCAAACACAGTAATCAATAGTTGATAATGCAAAACTCCAAAATGTCGTTTAACATTGCTTAAAAGTTAAAACAATCACCAAGGATAAAGCAAAACAAATACACTATTACCATAATATGCAGAAATGTCATATACGTTTAGACTTTAGAATACATATCTACAGAAGATGCATCTACTTTATAACATGAAGGAATTTATTATACATGGAAACAGCAAAACGGAGACTAAAGTATTTTTAAACAAACAATTGTAAATGTGTTCCAATAGTCAAAGAAAAATCTACCTTTTCTTAGTTTATGATGTAGAGAAACAATCACCTAAGGTAGAGAGAGCATGCAAATACTTTCAAGATTCAAGCAAACTACAATCACAATCTACAGAAACAAGCATCTACAGGAGACTCTAAGATGCATCCATTATGTAAAATAATAAGAGACCTTATGAGACACAAGCATTGAAACAGAGAAAATTAAAAATAAAAATTTTGAACTTAAAATGTGCTCATCTAGAAACTCAAGCAATTTTTATGATCTTGAAACTGTAAGTCCTAGTTTGCAGTGAGATTTTGTCAGGCTGATAACTTCCCTAAATACCAAAAGATCTATAAAAGGACATACCTGTAAGTCCTAGTTTGCAGTGAGATTTTGTCAGGCTGATAACTTCCCTAAATATGCAAGACGGAACCACATGCACCTAGAAAAAATATAACTCTTGAAATGTCACATATTTACGAGAAACTTGTTATGACTATTCCGCAAAGTCACATATTTTAACCATCTCTTATAGTAGACCACAACTGGAACTGGAAGGCCCGATCCACGAAGACAGCATTCGTCACCAAAAAAGACGACTCTTCTTTATACGAGCGCATCATAAACACCAACTAGAGATTTATCAGCACCACAAGGCAACACTATAATCCCAGATCTTGCTCGTCCTGCAGAATCAAGATTCTAGATCAGTCACAAAATCTTTCAAGAAATATTACAAAAATACTTATCTATTAGAAGTTCACAATGAAGCTAGATAAACCTATTTGAAAGGACAGATTAAAATATCTAAGAGAAGTTAACTATCAATTTTGCAGTCGTCGTATAACTGCATAACTAAGAAATTATTGTAAACGTAGAGAGTTAGACACTTATACTGTTCCTAAACTTTTTTCTTGGTATGGCCAAGAGAACATAACACCGTGAGCAAAAGAACATAACACCGTGAGCTAAGTAAAGACAACAGAACATTACCAAACTCATTAACACGATTATTTCTCAACGGCATCAGGGAAAATTTACTTGCAAAGGGTCTGTCTCAAATGAGTGAATTTCTAATTCTCTTCTGCTACTGCTGCCAGTTATGCTCCACTCAACAGCTCCCCAGTTCTACCGTGTTGTTTTGCCATCTGTAAAAACATCACCACCATAAACATACAAAAGTTGACAGCATACTGAGGAGAACATACAATGGTATAATAAACATGAATTTCACATTCAATGAATCAAGAAGAATAAGAAGAAGGTAACATAGTTCCTAGGAAATATATAAGTTTGCCACATTAGTGAGAAAAGACGCAGAGAACAACTGATCACGGATCATGGTATGTAATTCACTCAATGTTAAAAAGATACCGCGAAAGGGATGAAATGGAGGAGGAGTTAAACGTACCTCAGAAGCAAATCTAGCTCGGTTCATGTCATCAGCTGAGATAGTTTTGTTTTTACACTTGAGCAAAAGCAATGAAAAAAACCGAAACCAAGATCCCAAATACAAAAGAGAAGAGAAAGAGAATAAGCCTTGTGAACTTAAACAACACTTCGTCTTCAATACCAGCTTCACTTTCCCACAGAGGTTTATTTCCATGATCTGGCTTCAACTCCAATGTAGAAAAGTCTCTCTTCTTCTCCCCTCCTTCGCCTTCAAAAGCATTACAATTTCTATCCAATTAGTTCTAAATGTATTCATTGTAAAAATTATGCTACAATACAGCAAGAGTAGTAAAAACCCCTCCATTAGAAACAACATCTTCATCCATAGTAAAAATTAAATCTCTGACACTCAATGAATTTGATACAAAAAAGAAAAAGCAAATTGAGAACAGCCTAACATACCTCATCAGCATAAGGCCAAATCTTTGTCAAGTGATGTTTCAGCCAAGCCAACTGAAGTAAAAAAAAAAAAAGCCAAAGTACCAAGAATTAGTCCCAAGGATGACAAAACTCTACAACTTTAGTGTCTCCCATATACACAAAAAGAGAAAGATATGTAAGCAGATGCAAACACATCAATGTGTTCTAGAAAAGGAAGCTGGTGACTTAACTTCGGACACTCGGACAAGACAACCCAGGAAGGATGAAACTCAAGAGAAAAAAAGCTTCCAGGAATCCTCCACAGTCATCCACGCAAAATCAGCCACTGTATTCACCTGATAAGAAGAAACAAAATCCCGATAAAGAAAGAGCTAACAAATCAATGAGACTATCAAACATATTATGAAGCATTTACGTGTCTCTCACATGTGCATTTCATTATTATATCAAATAATTACAAACAAGTTTGTAAAGCACACAGAAACAAAAACAAAAAAAAAAGGTTGGAAAAGCATATACCTGGCAAAGAAGTCTGCAGCACTTAAAATCTACTCCAAGTCTCAACAATCCAAACGCTTTCAGAAGAACATACCTGAGGAAATCAGAGTTAGTTAGTCTTCATTGTTCTTTGAAGATTTTGGTCGTATTTTCAGTCCCATCCCAAGTCTATTGACTCTTTGTCTTATAAATTTGACTCTTTGTCTTATGGTTTTTCAAAGCCGTGGGTACCAAAGTCGTTTGACTCTTTGTCTTATGGTTTTTCATAGCCGTGGGTACCAAAGTCGTTTGACTCTTTGTCTTATGGTATTTCATAGCCGTGGGTACCAAAGTCGTTTGACTCTTTGTCTTGTGGTTTTTCAAAGCCGTGGGTACCAAAGTCGTTTGACTCTATGTCTTATGGTGTTTCAAAGCCGTGGGTACCAAAGTCTTTTGACTCTTTGTCTTATGGTTGTTCAAAGCCGAGGGTACCAATTGTGAGAACTCTTTGGTTCTATTCACTCTATGTCTTATGGTTTTTCAAAGCCGTGGGTACCAAAGTCTTTCGACTCTATCTTATGGTTTTTTCAAAGCCGTGGGTACCAAAGTCTTTCGACTCTTCGTCTTATGGTTTTTTCAAAGACGTGGGTACCAAAGTCTTTTGACTCTTTGTCTTATGGTAATTCAAAGCCGATGGTAACAATTGTGAGAACTCTGTGGTTCTTCTATTCAGTCTTTGTCTTAAGACTTTTAAAGCCATATGGCATTCCCAACCAAACAGAGGGTACAAATTGAGAGAACTCTTTGGTTCTTTTCAGTCTTTGTCTTAAGACTTTTTAAGCCATGTGTCATTCCCAACCAAACAAGCCGAGGGTACAAATTGAGAGAACTCTTTGGTTCTTTTCAGTCTTTGTCTTAAGACTTTTTAAGCCATGTGTCATTCCCATCTAACAATCCGAAATCTCTTTTCCGACCTCCCAACATGCATGCACTACCAAGCCAATCAATAGTTGACAACTTTTCTCGGGACAATGTCTCCAAAATAGAATCTGACAGAACACTATTAGTTTAGTGTCTGTCCATGATCCTTTTTGGGTTGTTAAAGAAAAAAACAGAAACAAAAACAAAAATCTTTAAGTTTTGGAAAATAACAATGATACAAAAGTCAATTGCTTAAATAAAGAAACAATAAATCTCATCAGAATTGGATTAATCGTTTGCCTTCAAATTTCAATCCTCTGAAAATTCAAAAAGACAAACAAAACGGGAAAGACAGAGAAATACCTCGTGAAAGAAAAGTCAGGCTGAAATCTCTTTAAGACCTTTAGAGAAATACCGTTCCAGCAACATATCAAGAAACTAAGACTTCCATCAAAACAAAACCCATCTAATAGACAAAGAGCATAGATCAACTAGAAGAGAGTACCTGAGGCTAGAAGCACCATCTTCTTTCCTAAATAGCAACATCTTCATCTGATGGAGCAATGTGTGCAATGGGCTGAATGAATATAACATGGAAACCCTCAATTCCACCAGACTAAAGTCATCAAAATTGTAAAAACCATTTGTCAAAACAACTTCACCTATAAGTACTTCTTTTTAAACTCAAAACAAGTAGCAGATTCCATTACTTCAAGTGATCCTTCAGCGCGGTAAAAGAACCTAAAAATATCAGAAAACTATAAGACTCCACTCAAATAAAAAAGAATCCATTAGACAAAGAGCATGTATGAACAAAGAAGAGAGTACCTGAAGCTAGAAGCACCATCTCCTTACTTGAATAAGCAGCATCTTCATCTGAGATGGAAACGCTCAATTCCAGCCAGCTAAAATATATCAAAAATGTAAAAAACTATTAGTTAAAACATATTTAGAAGACAAAATTTGTCTAATGCTGAATAAAAGAAAGACTCATCTCATCATGTTAACATACATACCCTAACTTCAAAGTATCGACCACCAAAAGCTTCTTGCCATGTCTAACAAACTCAGAGATGTGAATCAGACTGAATCGCTAAACTCTCTCTCTCTCTCTCT